GGGAAAGAATTTTTAATGTAAATCTTATCAGGGAGAGGGAGGGAAGTAAAAAGTAAACTCACTACTAAAATAATCCCAATCATGCTCCTGAAAAGAATTAATATTGCAGTAAGCAAAAATGTCTCAGCCTTGTAACACCTTTATGAAGAACAGAGTTGAATTGTGTATAAGAGAAAGCAACTTTTTCCGAATGTCCTTTCCCCTACCCTACTTCCCCTTTGATAAAATGGGGATAAAACCATTAGTTAAGGCATTATCACATTGTTAAACATATTGTACTGCTAAACAAGACAATAATATACACTCTGTAAGTGTTAGTACGTTACTAACAATTCAGTAGCATGCTATTTCAGGAAAAATTTAGCTAAGAAAACTTATTTGTCAGGAAAAAAACCCCAAACCTTCCACATCTCTCTCTTTTGAAAAGGGAGTATGTTTTCAATATAGCTGAATGTTAATGATCATAGAAAGGCTTTATAACGTCTTCTTTTTGAATAAGCCATTATTATCATTATACTATATAGTAATCTAAGTGCTTTCAACAGCTACTTCCATTCCCAGCAACCACATTCACACAGAAATAGAGACGCTGACAGGTTCAGGTGTCAAAAAGGGTTAAGAACAATCACGCCTGTAAAACTTTTTCTGCCAGAAAGACAGAATAAATGACTGTGGAGTCCAGACTCCACACACACGTTGGGACTTCCAAGAAAGAAAAATAAAACCCTGCAGGATTTGTGAACTTGCCCGTATACCGCAGTCCTTTCACCCCTTTGTACTTCCTCTAATCTGCTCCAAACAAAAAGTGTATCTGTTCCAGGAAGTCCTGACAAGCTCTGCGGAATGACACTCTAAATCATATCGCTAATTCATTACACACTACCTACCCAAACCCGCATGTAACGTTGAAAGAGTTGTATTTAATGAGAGCAATGCTTCAAAAACTATTGCGTCTTTGTCAGCTTTCCAACCAAAAGAACAACCCGAAGTACGAAAACTAAATCATCAGCAGAGCGATGTACTACGCTCTAATAGATAATGTGAAACTCTTTCAAAGCTGTGATGCTTTAGTTGGGGCACCACATTTTAGGCACCGACTACAATGCAATTTATTACAACAGATACTGCTAACACTATCTTCGGTAGAGTTTATCTCGGGGGAAAAAAGAAGTTAAAACTTATGAGGACAGGGGCAGAAAAACATTTTTATTTCCAAAGAACATAGTAAGTTCTCCCTCATACAATACTGAAGTGTGTTTCATGACCCGTATCCCAGTGGGACGTGGAATCGACATATCTCAAATATAGCAGATGCATGAAAAAAAACAGGTAAACAAATCTGGAGATCTACAGAAACATCCCACTTACTCATTTCTCCTCTCTGCTTCAGCTATGAATTCACTGGTATTTCAGAAATTAGTATTAAATAAGTCATGTGAGTTATTTAATGCCCATGCAGTTCAAAAACACAACTGCAGAAGAGGAACTTTTGTCCGCACCTTGCTGCATCCTCCAGAGATGAAGCGACACCTCCAATATACCTGTCCTTGTACAATTAGCACAACCACTTCTAGCCAAAAGTGAGCAGGAACTCTCTGTGTGCTGACAGAGGTACCTGAAACAAACCTCAAAGCTCCTACAAAATAAAAGAGGGTAATTTCTGTTGACGGTTTGAACTGGGTGCAAGGTGCTGATCATGTACTTCTTCCAACAGAATATTCAGGGCTGGTACTGGCAGCACGTTATCATTATCAGTACTGCACCATCACACAGAGCATTCAGATATGAGTATTTATACATTATAACCACAGCACTCTAAGTTTTATATTCTCTCAAATGCCCGGTTTATACAAGGAGACTGAAAAAAAAAAAAAATAAAAGAAAAAATAAAAGAGAGCCAACTTACAAGAGGGGAATTTCAACAATGAGCTGGATGAGGCAACACAGCAACTCTTCTATGAGGTCTTCGCACTCTGTTCCTGAAAAGAAGCATACCAAAGGTTTTCTGGACTTTCTAATACCGAAAGCAAGCATAGATTTAAACACACAGATCCAGACAATCAGTATTCTAAGCAAGGAACACTAGAAGAGAAATTCTACCTGTTTAAGAAGATAGCATTCTTTCCTGAAATAGAAGGCATGTGGGATTATCACCAGAGAAAATGGTGATGCTAAGCCTTTTATATAGAAAACAAATAACTAATAACAATTGGATAAATTCAATGAGATGCTGGCGTTGTAGGAATATGCTAACACTAAGCACATCAAGCCTTACTTTACTATTTACCTAAGCTCATATTAAATGGTGTTATTACAAACAGTTGAACTGATCAGCAGTGACTTCACGCCGGCCCACAGTTCAAGTCTCCTCTCAAAATTCCCTGCGCCCTGCATATTTCCCCATCCCTTTTTTTTAAATTCCAAGTGAAGAATAAGCAGAGACAGATAGAAAACACAGTTTAATTTGTCTAACATAGACTGAACAATATTCTAAATCGTGATCTGTCAAATGAATGCAGGCTACAGTACACATCACTGCTGCTCTTAAGCAATTAAATCTACACACTTGTTTCATGAATACAGATTTATTTATTGAAGAGGTTTTCTACATTTCAATGACAAGTAAGAATTCATGTATTTCCAAAGAGCATTTTAAGTGAGCAGAAATTATTCTCTACTCACATAAAATGTGACAAAATGCATGGGATGATTAAAAATTATTTTAAAAACGCAACTATTCTAAGCAATAAAACCGGTGTTATTTTACATTAGCACTGTGATTTTTAAATACAACTGTAACAAAAGACTTGTGAGAATTACTGAGGAAAAAGCTTGTTAAAACATTTGAAGTTGTCATATAATACTAAAAAAAAAATAAAAATAGAAGACTAATCTCTCGGCTCATTAGGATTTTTTCTGCTTTCAGAATAAAATTACAAAGAGAAATCTATAACAAAGAAGTGTAGGGGTTTACAGTGCTGAATGGCCTAAGAGCAGGCATAGTTTTTCCCTCTGCATTACCCGATACGCATTACAGCACTGCAGCACAGTGATTGCCCAAATGCTTGTTTATTTTGTATTTTCAAATAAATACGTCCTGCAATAAACACAACATTAGAGCCAGGTTATGGCAGCGTTACTGTTTGACCCAGAACTTAACTTAAATCCCGAACTCAATTTTAAGAAGCACTCCAGAGGGAATATTCACAATAAAGCAAAATTATTTCTTTCCACAATCGGTTTATTAAAAACACATTAAAAATTGTCACCTAGTGAACTGCATGTTCTAAAGGAAATCAGTTTTTTATCACGGAAGCATGGTTTCCTTTATATAGAATCCCCCATGAGTAACACAATGCAGCTCCTGTTAGTAAAAACCAAGAACTGCTAGGAGTATTTAACCTTAGACAGAAACCAACGCCAATAATAAAGCCCGGATAATGTATTCTAAAGTAACTCGAACGTGACAGTTCCCTAAGGTTTTCTGAATCTAGAAAATGCTTATAGCGCAAGACTGCTATTAGTTCTGTAAAGGTACCTAATTTTTTCTCTTGACAATTGAGGAAAGGGAGGAGAGAGGAAAAAGGATGAAAAAAGGAGAGTACATTTTAAGAATGTAATTTCTTCCACCATGCTATATACACAACTCACTTGAAGAGAGAATAATGTTATTTAAGGATGAAAAAGGGCGTTTCTCCCACACTATATTAAAAATAAAGCAAGAAAATATTGGGTTAGCATGATCATGTAGAATGGAAGATGTTAGTCTTTCCTGCTCTATTCTCAAACTTTAAAAAAAAAAAAAGCTTAATTGCTGTAATCAATGTCATTCAGCTACAATAATTAATGTATCCTTTTCCCCATTGGGGCACAGGCATTCTTGTTTAATTCTTGTCTTGCCAAGACAATGAGGCAGATGCATGCCAAATCTATAACGTGAGAGCGAGCTATAAACATGGAACACTATGTGTTTTCATAAACAATGTCTTTTTCAATAGCAGGATAAAGACAACACATACAATACTCCTTCACACTAAGAGATCACATACTTGGATCAAAGACATGTGGAAAGCCTTGGGGAAAATAAGTAAGGGGTGAATCTGTCCAGGGAAGATTAGAGCAGACTTGCAGAAAGAGGAATCATAGGTGCATCTTCTAAACTCTGTGGCCATGCAGAACTGCAAGCACAGCCAGTTTTTAAAATGCCCAGTTATGCTGAAGCACCATTTTTCATCCGCTATATCCAAGTCCTCAAACATGTGAATTACTTGCACCGTGGGGTTTTTGGCTTTTTGGTGAGGTTTGTTTGGTTTGGGTTGTTTTGGTTTTTTGGGGTTTGGTTTGTTTGGGTTGGTTTGGGTTTTGTTGGCATTTTTTTGGTTGGGTTTTTTTTTTGTTTGTTTGGGTTTTGGGGGGTTTTTTTGTTGTTTTTTTTCTTTGTTTTTTTTTTTTTTAAACACATAAAAAGATCATACTTTGTGTTTAACTTCTTCAAAGCTACCCACATTACAGACACTGGATTAGCAGACACTGCATAGGCAAAATAGCTTATCCAGAGGAAAGTATCCATGCCAGGAGACTCTGCTTCTAGTAAAACCAGCCCAGCTCCATCCTTGACCATGACGCAGGGTCTACCATAGACAGTGAAATGGTCTTTCTTCTCAAGAACCCTACTTCTCTGTTGTCACAACCCGACGTGAGCTGCCGTAGCAGCTGGATGTACCAAATGTTAATAAGACATTCAGGCACAGCAAGGTATAACCTCACCTTAGATGCTACTTGCCTTTCTGCCCTGTTGCTCCTGCAGATAGGCTAGAACCTGTCCATCAGTAATAAAATAATCCGTTACTCATAAAACAATACCTAAGGCCTCATTCGTTCAATGCATTACACAACCAGCAGACTTAAAGCTTCTTTGGGTTTTGTGGTTTGATCTTCAGCTCTGAGGGCTCTCAAAGGCTCCCAGCTTTCCCTCAAGAGTGTTAATGATGAGTACATAACATAACTGCCATCCCATATTGTTATCTATTCCCTCCTCTGCATCATCTTATTTGCTCTAACACACCAAGTACAGGCCCTACCAGCCTTGTGATAAAAACCTCTTTATAGAGAATGAATAAAGTTTCCTACTACAGGTCAGGGAAGAGGTTGAATGACTTGATGGTTGGATTTAGAATACAAAGCACTGCTGTGTATGCTCTTACACCGCTGAACCGCAGCACAGTGAAAGATCACGCAGAAATTGTGGGATATAGACAACGGAAGCCTCACCGAAAGATGAATGATTTGTGTTAGCAAGACTAACTCCAGCTTCAGATCAGCATACGCTGAGTCCAGTTTCAGGATTTATTAGTAGCAGGATTTTTTAGCTGAATCTTAAAGAATTTGACTTAAGTCTCCGTAAGGATTTTCCTACAATCAAAATTGTGTGATATCCTCCAATGTTGTAGGCAAATCCCCAGTTATGGATGAAGAGGCAAAGGCTGCACTTCCTGGGATAAAGAACCATCTGAAAACTGCCAAAAGGAACAAACCCTTATTAATGGACTGTTCTTGAAGGAAATCAATAAGCAGTGCTGTAGTGGGTACTTGATCCTCTGCAATTTGTTCATTACAACTTTATAATGGTAGGCTACAACATATTCAGGCTCTCAGACTTTTTGCAAAACGAAACCCCTCGATTATCACATTTTATGCCACAAAGCACAAGTGAAGAATGTGCAATGGAGTGCAAGCATATGAATTGCAAAACCTGGAAGGAGAATTCTCCCGGGTTAAGACAGTTATCAAAAATGCCAACTAAACAATAGTGGCTGTGTCATATATAACCTGCCAAAATACAAGACACATTGCTGAGCAGCCAGTGACAAGGGTGTTTTCCATACATCATCACTATCCTACACTACACATTTCTGCCTGACGCTCTCACCGACTGTAGTGTGAGCAGCCTGACGTGCTGACACTGCAGTTATGCAGTTCCCAGGTGCTGTATTTAAACTCTGATAACATGGTACTAGGATATATTCTCAGATTAGAAGGGGGGAGGGGGGGGGAAAGACGCTTTCTGTAGCTTAAACAGGGAAACAACCACCATGCTTTCTCCAAAGGAGCAGATCCTGAAAAGAACCATCCCAAAGGAGTTTTAAGATCATCCTGAAAAGAACGATTACTTTTTCTGAGAAGGCTGCGAGATTGCACAAGACATACAAAAACAGATCATAGGAGAGAGAGAGGTTGGTTGTGTTATTGGTTCGTTGTAACGTTCTTTCCAACAACTACTCACCCACCATTAAGAAAATAAGCAACCAGTACTTCAAAATTCAGGCACTGTATTAAAGCTTTTATCTATACGCATATTTTATTTACATTGTATAATTAATGTAATGATTCATTGTGTAAGGTTCGTTTCATCATGCTCACAATTGAAAAATAGTAAAATAAAATCAAGCTCCGGGAAACGAAAAGACAGCAAGGACAACTAAGAAGAACTTCAATTTTTAAAAAGCATGCTCACCAAAGATAGTGTTAAGCATGTACAACTTTAGTAGAAGCAGTAATAAATTTGTGTAAACGTCACAATAACAAGGCATGCTCTAGTTTCCGAAGAATAAAAAGAGACTCCAGCTACAGAAAATACAAACAGAAAACATTTCATCCTTTTCTGCTGACTTTAATAGGCCCTAACACAACAGCATTTTATTATGCTCCATTAATGATACCTCAATTTTCCTATAGATAAGTATAAAAGCTATAGGAAGGCATTCCCTTTATTACCATACTCTCTATATAATTTAAAAAATCCAATGTGAAGATTTGTTAGGAGCAAAAAAACGATGGCTATGCAAACATGGCACAACGCGAACCTCAGCTCCTTGAAGGAGGTCACAAGGACCGTCTCCAGCTGGAAAGCCAAGTCAAAAGCAGCAGCGGACTCGAGCCACGGCTGAGCAGGGAGAGACGAGGAGGAGCTCGTTTCCTGCTCCATCCCCTGCTCTCACCGGACCACACACAATCACCTTCCTAATCAAGAACATCCAGCCAACAATCTGCTCAAAGATCACCTTCCTAATCAAGAACATCCAGCCAACAATCTGCTCAAAGATAATTGCTAAGTACATTTTCCATCAATATGCACAAAATTATGGCTAATAGATGTCACTGTGAATTACAGTCAAGTGCTACTATACACGGTATAAACACGGATCTACCCCAGTGACAAGAATCACTTTTCATACCACGCTGCGAGGAACTCCCAGCGTAAGGAAATAAGATCCCAGGGGTTCAACCTAACAAAACATCTCAGCTTTTCCATCCCTTTTACTGTGCTACACTCTATCACCGAAGGAAGAGGTGGGCAATGGTTTTAAACCAAGTATAAACCCATCGGCAGCCTGCAATGATAGCTTATTATAAGCAGGTTTACTTGCTAAAGCATGGCTTAGCTGACATCATTCCTGGAGAGGACTCTCCGCAGTTTAAACACATTAAACCTTTTCAACATATAGCACTTAAATCTTTTGGCACCAGAAGTCCAATTTCCCCAGGGCAAGGGCAGGCGCCAAAGAGTTAAACAGATTTTAACGAACATTTTTCACTGTTCAATGAGCAAGCAGCTCTCAGGCATCCTCAGCGCGTGTCCTCGTTGGACTGCCTGTTGAGGGAAATCCACATTCAGATGCTTTTGGTTGTTGTTCCACAATCCACTCGTGCTGTATTAGCATTCTGATACCGGCCCTTTTCGCCAGACCATTTTTGGCTTTATGCAATAAACAACACGCAATTACAAACTCAACAGTATCTTTACAACAAAGCAAAGGAAATTAAGGCTCCTGTGCCAGCATTATCCATCCCGTGTTCTGTAAGAGCATCTTCATAGGGCGCCACACAAAGATTTGCAGCAGACAGTGTCACGACTTTCTTTTTGCTGTACTCAAACTGATTTTGAATGCATTCATGTTATTCACATTCAAAAAGAAGGACCAGGTTATTCACCAGTTATTCACATTCAGAAAGAAGCAGAAGGAGAACAGCTAGATTATTTGAGCGTCTTCCCTGCCACCTTAATCTTCCATTCTCCATTTCCCGGAGATGCACTTATTTTTGAACATTCTGCCTAAGTTCTTTGACTTTTCCTGTACTCTTGCATAAACTACTGCCCACTACTTAAACTTTAGCAGTTGCTTTTTCACCGGATCAGTTCTAACCACAGTACTCTCATCCTCCCTCGCTAGATTCCTAGAAGTTGCATTAATTCCAATCCCTGGCTGCTGCTGGTTTATGAAACACACATGAAAAGAAACACTACATAATTGCAAAATCACCGTTCCTACAGCAGTATGTGGTCAGCTTCACCCCAATTCTGTCCTGTTCCTCTGAAGAGGAGCTTTACCACATTTCAAACTGCATGAAAATGACTAAAGCTAAAGTAGGTCTACAGCATCACTTCTGAACAACTGTTTAAAAAATGCCAAATTGTCTGTAAATAAATGACGCTGTTAAATTTGATATAAATCTTCAAAGAAAAAATAAACCAAACAACTTAAACTCTGCTGTAGAAGAGGCCTATTTTGCTCTAAGAACCTGTAACATGCCAACAGCTTGTTAACATTTAATTCTAGATGATGACAGTCAATATGTAATGAAAAGCTCTCATCACATTTTGAAGGTGTTTTCTTTCACATGTATGATACAAAGGGAGATAGTTTACACCGAATTACTTCAGACCCCAAAGGAAGTCAGTCAGTTTTACTATTGACTACATACTTTCAATCTCACAGTTGCCCCAAACGGCAAACACGTTGTATGTAACCCCATGGGTATGTCATTTCTAGTTTTAAAGCAAAGTTTGGGATTCATAGTCTAAACAAAACAGAATCATAGAATTATTTTGGTTGGAAAAGACCCGTAAAATCATCAAATCCAACCGTTAACCTAACACTACCAAGTCCGCCACTAAACCATGTCCCCAAGTGCCACGTCTACAAACATCAGAGCTTTTTCATTTCTTGTGGGATGTTTGTTCCACTGGGATATTTGTTTCACTAGCACTAGTGTATACCCACCATATGAGCCCGGTGCTTTCTCTTCGTAAGTAAAATGAAGTTGCAGCTCCTCTTCTGACATTCGACTGATGAACACTTTCAGCAGACAGCAAATAATAAACAGTGCGTTGTGAGCCTGCCAAATAAAGAGGTGACTAGAAAAGAACCAGAAACAAACAAGAATCAGTAATGCTAACCTGTGAACGTGCATCAAAACCCACAAGAAAATATATGCCAGAGTAGACAAAGGGGTTCCTACAGCTGATGCAAGGAAAAGCCAAAGTGCTTAAGCGGGAAGTCTTCAGGTGATGCTACAGCAAACAAACTGCAATGTATTTTCCGCCAGTACTTTTTTCTTAGAATCATAGAATCACAGAATGTTTTGGGTTGGAAGGGACCCCTAGAGGTCATCTAGTCCAACCCCTCTGCAGGAGCAGGGACATCGCTAACTAGATCTTCCCCCAAGAGAATACAGTCTTATTCCTAAATTTGTATTGTTAAAAACACCACAGCTGCCAGAAGAACCACTCTTCTAAGAGCTCACCAGATGGCACAACATACTTTGAAAATTTCCAGCAGCTTCGATATGAAAGCTACTGTGGCCTCCCTGAACCTTTGCACTTTTCCCAGTCAAAGAGCCTTCAGATAACCATAGGCATTTACGAACTTCAGGAGCACAATATAGCAAGATTTCTCTATGCAACAACACAGAGATAGCTTCCAAGCTTTCTGAATGCAAGGGGAATATAGCTTCATGACGTTTTCTTGAGTCCCAGTAAGCAACTGCTGGGAAGCCCATACGACAGCATATAATCAAGCTCTTCATCGAAGCTGTATTTTCAAGGTATTTTTGGATTAAAAGAGCAGGAGCTATCCAGGCAGGACTAACTTCTTTCTCCAGATATAAGCAAAAAGGTTGAGGGCAGTCCTGGGAGCAAGGGGGCATGAAAAAGCAAGTCTTCCCTTTTGAAGCCCCAGATCTGATGAGAGTTGGACATTTGTCTATGGGCATGGGGGAACAATTACAGAAAGCTTCCTGCAAAACCCATACAGTGCTGCACACGTAACCTCTTGCAGTTCTTTCCTGCTGCTGAAAGGGGCAAGCAAAACCAATGGCAGTTGCATGGTATGATTTGAAAGTGATGTTCTAACAGCGATTTAAGAGAATTCTAAGTTTTGGTCTGTGATTAGGTTTAACTAGCAAAGTAAAAAAACTGCAAGAGCTAGCAGCAAAAGGAACACTTAAAAAAGTAAAATGGCACACACAGCTTGTTCCCAGGTACTCACTTCTGACATTCTGCTGAAATTTTTAACTCTTTGGTTCTAGAAAGAAAGACTTTGATCAACGACCCAAGGTTTCCTGTTCGAGGATTCTTCTCAACTAGATGAGGAAAAATGAGATGTGATTATATCACAGGTGTAAGTTGACACTACTTAGTTCAAACAATATATAGAATGAAACGAGATTTCAGTGTCTTAAATATTTCTACATAAAGCACATTATGACTGTTTTCCTGCACAGCTCATACTGCTTCCTTTCCAAGACTTGTCTACAGCACAAGAGTCTCCTGTCAGAAAACTGGGCAGGTTTTCACAACTAGCTTTTCCCTTCTTGAAACATCGTTGAACACATTTGTATCATCCCTTTCCTTTCATCCTCTGATTAATTCTTTCCCCTTACTGATCAGCTTAGAGGACAGAGGGAAAAAGAGGTAGGAGGGGTGGAAATATTTGGTTTAAACCTTTCAGTCATTTCAAGTTCTACAAAACAGATAATGATGGACGCTTCTAGAAGCTTAGGATATATATACATAAACACTCTTTACGCTACTTTAAACTTACTAGTGGAACACATACAAGTAGAATTAAGTATACAGAAGACATGGATGCGCACATGAATGCTGTTTCTTAATTTTTCTTATCAAGCACATGGAAAAAGTTTAGATGTCACAATTTCTCACCTAAAGACTTGCAGACTGAGATTGTGGCTTCTTCCAAGAGCTTTAAGTCAGCACTAGGAGAGGGGAAAATGAAAATAAAAATGGTTACACAAGCAATTGGGTTCCTGTACTTGAAGTGAAAACTCATTGCAAGAGAGTAGTAAAGTATTTCTATGAAGTACTTAATTTTACCAATCCATTAGCTGGTTTACATAGATATCACAGAAACACAGGATGGTTGAGGTGAGAAGGGACCGTTGAAGGTCATCTCGTCCAACCTCCCTGCTCAAGCAGGGCCTCCTAGAGCCAGTCACCCAGAACCACGTCCAGGAGGCTTTTCAATATCTCCAAGGACAAAGACTCCACAATCTCTCTGGGCAACCCGTTCCAGAGCTCGGTCATCCTAGTATCAGGCAGGAAAACATGCATTTGAAGTACAATGGCTATAAAACAGGACACTAATATTCAAAAGTGTTTGTCAAAGTGAAACGATGTCACTACACCGTTTGTGTTACTACTACCTTTGTGGCTTCCATGCTGCCATGCTTAGCTGGATGCCACTGAAATACACATGGAACAGCAGTCTACAGAAAGAACTTTATTTTTTTACAGGAACTATCATATAAAATAAAAACTTTTTTTAAAGTATCAATTAAAGAATCCTCAACCTGACATTTAACCTCACGCTAAGCACCACTTTCCTTCAACTAACGTTCTTATACTAATGCAACAATCCCATCAGATAGACCAAATTTTTCCTCCTAACTTCATTAATTGCCTGTTGGTATGCCTCACTGAAAACCATCAGCTGAAAAGAACAATAAAGCAGTAAAACAGAACCTGCCAACAACCACTGAAAGTAAACACCAGCTGTGTCAAACACATAAAAAGCCATTTATACACTCCTGTCTCTACAAACCTACCAGTACAGAGTAACTGATCCTTGAAAACAAAACAGAAGAATACATGGGAAGTGTATTTTTCCTTAACAGATGGGAAAAAAAGACAAGTAATAATCAGATATTGTGTCCAATGCCACATTAAACAATATGAAGGTGTCCCAATATTAACACCTAAAGGGCAACCTGTCCCAGTGTTTCACGACCCTCATCGTAAAAAGTTTATTCCTTCTATCTGGTCTGAATCTCACCTCTTTTGGTTTAAAACCATTACCCCTTGTCCTATCGCTACAGGCCCTACTGCTCAGGATTATCAGAGAAAATTGTACAGCCTCTATACAGCCTCAACTAACATACAGTCTGACCTACAGGAATGGCAGCCCTTCTGAAGTTCCCCAGATTAAAAGTCAGTCAAAAAAACCCAGTTCCATGCTTGCAGACATAACATAGTACATAATATAGGCTGAACAATTTCAGAGCTCATGCTGCTATGTCCTTGTAATTAAAGGCATGAAAATCAGCATCCTCAGAATAAATAGGAAAGCAGCAATGTAATGAAACCTGAACAGTAACTAAACCTATAAAAGCCAGTGGCATGGCCTCTGTTCAAGCATATAAAAATCTTCTCACATAAAAATATTGCAAAACTTAATACTGCCCTAATTAGATTGCCAAAGTCGCTGTTGCTTCCCAAGTATTAAGTTTTCTGATGAGTAACGTGATTGATCTAAAACCATCGCAGACTAAAGACAAAAAGGGCATGGTACCCCATATACTCTGTCCCACCTACTCAACCCCATCTTGGCAACTACCTGCAGCTCTGCCAGCAAACTTCTAAAATGCAGTGGTGGGGGAAAGAGCCCCCCTTCTTTCTGTTTTTAAATTTAGATGGTAATCCAGTTTACGGCACAGTCCTAAGAACCATTGCATCAACCTGAGATTAACTGTGGTGCTGTGTGGGAAGCCCCTAAACCAGCTCCGCTGCTGAAAACCCACGTGGAGCCGTAGAAGCTGTTGAGTTTGTCTGAGCCATGCCCGAACTCTCAAGGACTAGGCAGAAGAGGTAGAAACAGCAGCCAGAAGAGTTATTTCAAAGCTTTTCAAAAGGAAATGCTTCAAGACAGAGACATCAAGCAAAATAAGTTTTAAGATGCCTGCTAATTTTCCTGTGTATCAGACTGATTTACCGTGCAGTGAGCTGACAGCAAGACAGCTCTTCACCCACAGCTGAATATCCTAAGACAATTTTAGATTATGCAGATTGGCTTTTTTTGATACCAAATATCAGCATTCTGGCTTTTTTTGATACCAAATATCAGCATTCTGGCTTTTTTTGATACCAAATATCAGCATTCTTCCCTCCCTTATAAATTGCTTTGCAGCCTAAGTTTCAGAAAGAACAAACTTACACTTTCATATATACTTTAAGAACATGAGACTCAGTCTCAAAGGTGGTCTCCCGTTTCAGTGCTAAAAACATGCAGAGTAATCAAAACCAAATGCTATAAAACTAGAACATCCCAACAACAACTACAGACAACAGTCTTCTAGGACTATGTGAAACAAGGACTTTTTTTTTTTTAAAAAACCAAAAAAACACAAAACGAAAACAATTTCTAAATTTGTCCAGCTGGCTGCTTGTCATCAGGATGTATTCCCTAAGAGCTGACAGGCAGGGTGAATATTGTATTGGACACCAACTCAGCAAAGAGTTCTTAGGTACCGAATAATTGTAACCCAACACAACGTGACCCACCTCCCGCTATCCAAAAATGCTGGGGACTTTTGTAATACAGAGTGAGGGATTATTGTAATTGCTTCAGGATTTAAACCATAAATGCAGACATTCAGCTTTTAATTATGGGTCATTTTCCCTGTAATTTCTAAGCAGTTGGGTTTGAAAGTATAGCATTCTTACAGGTTTTTTGCTTTCTCCCTTTGAGTTATTAAAAACCACATAAAGTCCTCAAATTCCACAGGGTTGCCTAATTTCTACGACTTGCCTGATTTCTACAAGTTGCCAGGATCAAAACCAGCAGCAAATGAAGCAAGACCTTCAGGTCTTCAGCAAAGCTTTTAAGACTCGAGTCATTCTTTTTCCTACCAGAACAAAATTTAATGCTTAAAAATTAACTAGAGCCCACTCCCCCTTATTCATACAACAAGGACACAGAATTGAATTTTGCCATCCTCAGGACTAGGCACCCACATCTGCAAAATTTCAGTTCACGCAACAGAAACACCGCTCCAACAGGCACACAGAGTGAAATGGTGTTCTTACACTCAACGGAAGCGGCACTACTGCTACATCCTCATGAGGTTCAACAAGGCCAAGTGCAAGGTCCTGCACCTGGATTGGGGTAACCCCCAGTATCTGGCCAGCAGGTCGAGGGAGGTGATTCTGCCCCTCTACTCAGCTCTGGTGAGACCTCACCTGGAGTACTGCGTCCAGCTCTGGAGCCCTCAGCACAAGAAGGACATGGAACTGTTGGAACGGGTCCAGAGGAGGGCTACAAAAATGATCCGAGGGCTGGAGCACCTCTCCTATGAGGACAGGCTGAGAGAGTTGGGCTTGTTCAGTCTGGAGAAAAGGAGGCTACGGGGAGACCTGATTGCGGCCTTCCAGTACCTAAAGGGGGCCTATAGGAAAGATGGGGAACGTCTTTTTAGTAGGGCCAGCTGTGTTAGGACAAGGGGAAATGGTTTTAAACTAGAACAGGGTAGGTTCAGGCTAGAGGTAAGGAAGAAATTTTTTACAATGAGGGTGGTAAAACACTGGAACAGGTTGCCCAGAGAGGTAGTGGAGGCCCCATCCCTGGGAACATTCAAGGCCAGGTTGGATGGGGCTCTGAGCAACCTGATCTAGTTAGCAGTGTCCCTGCTCACTGCAGGGGGGGTTGGACTAGATGACCACTAGTGGTCCCTTCCAACCCTAAACATTCTATGATTCTATCCCCAAGGATGGATTCATGGAGAGAGTGTACTGGGGGGGGTTACAAAAAATAGCAGCGATTTCCAGGTAGCTGGGGGCAAAGGTTAGCAGTGGCTTCTTTCCTTAGCTTGGGCAGGGAAGAAAAAAGTGAGAGAAAATATGTCTACGTGTTTTGAGGGGCTGTGAAGACAGGAGAGATATTATATTAACGCTTAGAAAATGCCAGAGCCAAGATTTGTAAGGTGGCACAAAGAAATGCTACAATCAGCTACAGTATTGACTTTGCTCTACAGTCCCTGTGGAGATGACATTTGGTTAATGAATGAATGTAAAAATGGAAACCTAATGCTAAAAAATCCGTCCTTTCATTAATCCACAGAGCAGCACTGGTAGTATTCAAACTATTTTTCAGCACTAACACTAGCAAGCACTGATAGAGCGAAGCTCCTTCACAGCACTGAGCACAAATAGAAGTTCCAATTCTATCTGAAAGCCCTCACCCGAGGAATATGGACTGCCTTGCTGCCAAATGTATGTGTATACACATACATATATACAGATACAGATTTTAGGAGCTCGCTATTTGGGACAAAGAAGTCTCAAATGCATTTAAACTGATCCTCTTTAGCATATTACATTTAATTTTAATGAAGTACCTATAGGAGAATCCAGGAGAAAACAACCTTTTGGAAAAGAAAAGGAAAAAAATCCCACACATTTTCCACTCCGCAATTTTATCTACCAAGAACTGGGAAAATATAGTTAATATTTTAATACTGAAAACAACTATTTTCTAGCACACATAAAATAGAAGAGAGATTCATTAGGGATGGAGGAGTAAAATACCCCCTGCTTTATGAGAATAGCTAGCATATTCTCAACAAGAAAAAGATTATTAGTTAATAGCAATAAACAAGCAGCAAGGTAAGTAAACCATTCCTGC